GGAGGGGATGTGGGAGGCCTGGGGCCCCCGAGCCCACGCCCCGGGGGACACAGGGAGTCCTCAGTGCAGGGGCGGGGCTTGGGCGGGTTCCTGCTGGGCTGGGGCCAGGGCCTGGGCCGCCATCGGCCCCGCGGGTGGGTGGCGTCTCCTTTCTTCTCTTGCGGTTTTGTAGATCTTGTCAGAGGTGACAGGCACCGAGCTGGTTCGGTGGCCCGTCACCCTCGTGGTTTCTGGACCACCGCCCCAGGTGGTTTGGGAGGCCAAGCCCCCCGGACAGCCGGTGTCATTCGTGCCGGGAGTTCCCACCAACTTCGCGGTACATTCCGCCTGTGACTTCCCGGCGGATGCGCTGGTGTTTTTTGCAGCCACGGCCTCTGATGCAGACCAGACGGCCTCCTCGCTGCCCCGTACTGCGGGAGCCTTGCTGCACCCGGGTTGGAGCAAGCGCCCGCTGCAGGGGCCGCGGTGCAGGAGGCAGCCAGGGCCAGGCCCCTGCTGGTGGGCTCCCCTCGCACCCTCACTGTCTTCCCACCGTTCTCAGGGCTGCCATTCGCAAAGGCTGGAAGGAGGGCCTCGCTGGTGTGGCTCAGTGGATAGAGCGTCGGCCTGCGGACTGAAGGGTCCAGGGTTCAATTCCCGGTCAGAGCACATGCCCGCGTTGTGGGCTCGATCCTAGTAGGGGGCGTGCAGGAGGCAGCCGGTCAATGATTCTCTCTCATCCTTGATGTTTCTATCTCCCTCTCCCTTCCTCTCTAAAATCAATAAAAATATATTTTTTAAAAAGCTGGAAGGAGACCAAGCTGGTGGAGTTAGGCATTACTGTGTCGCTGTCGCAGTCTCTGCGTTGCTTTAACAGCGTAGTGCACAGCATGGTGGACGGTTTTCTTTGTGTCCCAGGGCAAGCCCTGTAGAAGGAACAGGTGTTGGGGACTTGGGAAAAGCAGGCTCCCCTGAGGAATGGGCCCCAGGCCTGGCCTGTGTCGGTGTCAGATTTAAGTGAGGTGCGGCCTCAGGCCTGGCGGGCGGGCGGGGGTGGTGCCGAGGGCCTGGGTTTGGTGTCACTGTCGGCTCCTGGGCACGGTGGGAACCCTGGCGCAGGGTCACGTGACCTGCTGGGCTTCCGAGAAGTGGACGCACCACAACCACTTGCTGGCTGGCCCGGACGCTCCCGGGAGGCGACACGTGAGCACGGAGAGCCGTGCTTTTGCGAGTCCCTGTCCCTGGCGCCCGCCCCGGCACGTACGGCGTGTTGTGCAATCTGTGAATGTGTCATCTGTGAAGTCACGGCAGGGAGAGGCCTGAAGGCTTCCAGATGGAGCCGCGTGAGCCCGTAACCTCGGGCGCTGGCTCGCTTTCCACAGAAAGAAAACAAAATAAGTGCGAGGAGCCCGGGCTGCAGCTGCGAGGGGAGGAGAGCGAGAGCGCGTTCCGGGACGCGGGCGTTGAAGGCTCTGGATCTCTCTTAATTCGGAGGATTAAGAAACCACAGACATTGGAGTGAAAATTAAAAGTATTCAATTATTGGGGGGAAATTTTCCTAAAATCACAGTTTTATCTTTTAAAAATACATCTTTATTGATTTCAGAGAGGAAGGGCAGGAGAGAGAGAGACCTCAATGAAGAGAGAAGCATTGATCGGCTGCCTCCTGCACGCCCCCTACTGGGGATCGAGCCTGCAACCCGGGCCTGTGCCCTTGATCGGGAATCAGTGTGCCCTTCAGTCCGCAGGCTGGCGCTCTGTCCGCTGAGGCTGAGGCCACGGTTCTGACGGTTCTGGTGGAATCACTGCGCGTTTCAGTGGGGACGGAGCTCCTCTACTTCCTTTGGGGGCACACCCTGGCCACTCGGTGGTGTGAATAGTGGTGCCGGCCACTCGATGACTCGCCGGTCTCCTTGCCGTTGCTCACAGCGCCCGCCTTCCCGTCTCCCGTGCAGGCGAGGTGACCCGAGCGGTTTGCGTGCCCTCTGAGCGAGGCGCTGGCTCTCTGTGGAGACGCTGCCTGTCGGGGTGGGGGTGGGGGGCCGCTGGTCTAGACTGGAGGCGCTGAGTCGCGGTTTCCGGGACCAGAGAGGCCGTGGCTGTGCGGGGGCCACAGTGGAGGGCAGGCTCCGTGTGACTCACCTCTCCTCGCCGTCTGAGTGTCGGTGTCCTCGCGGGTAAGCGAGGGGGATCGAGGGGCCTGCGCTCCTACTGTGTGTCACGTGCTCTCAGACCCTCGGAGATGCTCATGTTCCCACTGGGGAGCCAGGCACCTCAATTGTGGCGGCAGCACAGGCTGGCACGCCTGCACTGGGCACGCGAGGGAGGGACGGAGCCGGCGCTGTGAGGAGCGGATGGGCCCCCGTCAGGACCGGGACCGTGGACAGGGCCTGGGTCTGGGCCGTGGGGGGTGAGGCCGGGCCAGGTTGTGGGGACTTGCAGGAGCCGAGGTGTCGAGTGGTGCTGGGGAGCCACGGAGGCGCTGGGCAGGTGACTCAGACACGGCCTGGAAGCAGAGAGCTCTGGGCGGAGGGGGGTGGGACGGTGACTGAGGGACAGTCAGATGGACGGTGACGAGGGTCGTGCAGCGGCCGTGGATGAGGTGGGAAGGGTCTTGGCGGTGGGCAGACCAGCTGTGATGGCAGGAGGGGCTGTGGGTGCGGGGCTGTGGGCTGTGAGCGCTCAGCAGGGAAAACGCAACATTTCAGGGGTTTGGGCAGAGCCAGGGGAGGCCGGGGGGGGGGGGGGCAGTGGGCGTGGGGTCCAGGGAGGGGGAGGATGGCCCAGCCAGGCCCAGCCACCACCTGCTTCAGGGAGCCGCCCGTTCCCGTTCCCGTTCCCGTTCCCGTTCCCGTTCCCGTTCCCGTTCCCGTTCCCGTTCCCGTTCCCGCGTGACGTGACCCCTTTGCCTTGCAGTGCTCGCGCCTCCGGCGCCGCCACCGCCCCCCATCCAAGGATATGCCTTCAAGCCTCCGCCCAGACCCGACTTCGGGACCTCGGGGAGAACAATCAAGTTACAGGCCAACTTCTTTGAAATGGACATTCCGAAAATCGACATCTATCACTACGAGTTGGATATCAAGCCAGAGAAATGCCCGCGGAGAGTGAACAGGTACCGTGTCCTCCTCAGGACGGGTCGGTCGGTCGGTCGGTCGGTCGGTGCGAACTTTGCCGCAGACACAGGTGCTGGTCAGCTCGGTCCAGCGGGGCCTCCCACCTCCTCCCCCAGAAGTTCCTTCCCGTCGCGTGGATGCTGTGGAAGGCGGTTTTGTCTCGGGGTGCAGTGAAGTGCGCGTCCAGATGCACACAGGTGCCCGCCCCCAGAGCGGTGCCCGCCCCTGCCCGTCGGCCCTGCACTCTGAGGTCGTGCCCGAGCCGTGTCACCGCGGGCTCGGCCCCTTGTCCATCCGCTCCCGGCCCGTGTTTCTAGGGGGACCGGCATCCTTGTGTTAGGAGCTTCTTGTTTTATTGCTCAGGACCCTCTGACATGAACAGTTCATCATTTCATTTATTTATCTATTTATTGTTCTTTTTTAATCCTCACCTGAGGATGTTTTTCCATTGATTTTAGAGAGAGTGGCTTGTGTATTTAGCTCTCGGTCCATCTTGAAATGATGGTTTGTACGGTGTGAGGTGAGGGTCTGCTACAGAGCGCTTCCTTCTGCGCTGCTCGGCCTGTCACCTTCGGGGGGACCGGTTTATGTTCATGAGCTACCAGGCAGCTCTGGGCGCTGGTACTGGGTGCTTTGATCTATAGTTAAATTTGGGGGGATTGCCACGGAGTCTTCAGTCCATAAGCAGCACGTTCCCGACAGGCGGCTGCCGTAGTTTCTCTTCGCAGTTCTTCATAATGTGCAGCTCGAGGGCCTCATTTGTTCTTCAGGGTGTTATGTTGTTGCTCTAAGTTGTATTTTAACATTTCATTTCTCTAGAAGGGGTGGGAGTGACTGCTAATGAGTATGGGGTTTCTGGGTGATGAAGGTGTTCAAAACTTACATGGTGCTGATGGCTACAGAACTCTCTAATCTGCTAAAACCACCAAATTGTATATTTTAAAATATGTTTTTATTGTTTTCACAGAGTAAGGGAGAGCGAGGGGGAGAGTGAGAAAGAAACATCCATGATGAGAGAGAATCATTGATCAGCTGCCTCCTGCACGCCCCCTACAGGGGATCGAGCCCACAACCTGGGCATGTGCCCTGACCAGGAATCAAACCGTGACCTCCTGGCTCCTGGGTTGACGCTCAGCCACTGAGCCACGCCAGCCGGGCAACAGTTTGATTTCTTTATCAGATATTAGACGATTCCGTTTTGTTTTTGTTTTTTCATTTCTTTCTGTATTAGGTTTGGTAGTTTGTGTCTTTTAAGGAGTCTGTCCATCTCACATAAGTTGTTGGATTTATTGGGGGCTTGTTGGTTTGTGTGTGAGAGTCCGGTCAGGACACTCGGCGCTGGTGGAGGGCACGGAGGCAGCACTTCCCGGGGCTGATGGGACGGGCGGTGGGTCTGATTGTGCCGCCAACCACAGCGCGCAAGGAGCGCCCTTTTATGAAAACAGGTCTGCCTGAGGCTGTGTTATCTGGCGACGGAAGCGGTTGGCGGTGATTAAAGCGGGGTGTCTTTCCCCCCCGCCCCCCCTCGTTGGGTTTGAAAGTTACCCACTAGAAATTCCCTCGAGTCAGACAGAAAGTAGCAAAGGCGGGCCCTGGGCGGCACCTCCGTGGCCACCACCAGCCGTGTCCCACGTGTCCTGCTGCCCCCGGGTGCCGAGCCTGGGAGTTGCCGCCTGGTTAAGTGTGTGAGCGTCTGGGGTTTTTTATTTTACTACTAGTGGTCCGGTGCACAAAATTCGTGCACATTAAAAGGGAATTAATTAGAGGAAATATTTTAATATTGCTGTTTGCCCTTTCTCTATAATAGAAGTGTCAGAGATGAAAAAAAATTAGTAAAATGTGTGTGAAAATCTCCCTCCTGTCAGAGTCTGGGGCGCGCCGCGGGACCCTGAGTCATGTCGCCACCCACCCACACGCACCTTGAAATCGTGCAAGGCCCAGACCCAGCCGGCCCCACCCCCGTCAAGCCCCGCAGGGCGGGGGGCGCAGCCTCAGGTCCCCCAGCCGGGGTGGGGGGTGCGGCCTCAGGTCGCCCAGCCCTGGCACAAGGGTGTGACGACCATTTGCGTATCAGCTCTTTATTATGTAGGATTGATTGTGGTGCAGTTCGGCTAAGGCCCTGCCGCAATTACAGTCAGAACAGTACAGGAAAATGTGGGCGTGTTTGTGCTGACACCCGACTGGGCGGCTCCTGCCACCTTTAGGGAACCTCCCCGTGGGGATGGGCGCTGGGCTGGGTGAGTGGTGGGGAGGAGGGGCCAGACCGGCGGCAGCGGGCTGCAGGTCAGCACAGGCCGAGGGAGGCTGAGGCTGGAGTGGGAGGCCGCGGCGAGGACTGGATTCAGGCTGGGCTGTCCCCTGGGGTGCGGCTGCCAGGCCAGCTCCGGACACCCCTCCCCTCCCCTCCACACTGTGCTCCCTACGGGGCAGTGTGCCCTGGAGACACTGGGCAGAGTCCCCCAGAGGCTGCGCCAAGGCCAAGAGGATGGTGCCACCATCGGGGTGCTAGGCTGTCATGGTTGAGAAGAGTCCCCTTGGAACAGCTGTTCCCTGAGCCCGGGGAGCCTGCCCGCTGGACCTGGGCGTCCCGGTGCCTCCTGCCCGCGGTCGGGTGTGGGCAGCTGGCCCATAGCAGGTGTTGTCTCAGGTGCACGGGCTCCAGCTTGTTGCTCTGAGTACCAGGAACCTCGCTGCCTCAGCTCTTCTCTCTCCTGCTGCTTCTGTCGTCAATGAAATGTCCGCGGGGCCACGGTCGCCCGGGCTCTCGATTCTGCCCACCCAGCAGCCGCTGTCGTCTCTGACCTGTAGCCGGTCGAGTCCTTGGTGGGTGGTTTTTGCCGGTTTCTCCCAGGCAGCGGCCTGCCTTTTCCTTTCGTAAGTGAAGGTGTCTTCAGAGAAAGACGCTTGATTTTTCCATCGTCCAGTTCATCTTTTCTTTCACAGGGAGACTGTTTATGGGCTGAGACCTCCTGTCTGCCCCGCTTCTTACAGCTTTTTCTCTTCTGCTTCCCTCCAGAAGGTCTATAGCTGCCTGTTACTTAAGTCTGTAATTTGTTACACATAATTACTTTCATCCTTTAAACCGACCTTTCATTCCTGGCGTCTGCCCAACCTTGACACGTTGTATTATTATTGACGTGTTGCTGGATTCCTCTTGTTACTGCTTTGTTTCTACATCTGTGTTTATCAGTGAGATTGGCCCATGATCACCTTGTCGGGCGTTGAGATAAAAGCTTCGCTAGCCTTGCCCGGCCGGCGTGGCTCAGTGATTGAGCATCGACCTATGAACCAGGAGGTCATGGTCCGATTCCCGGTCAGGGCACGTGCCCAGGTTACAGGCTCAATCCCCAGTGGGGCGTGCAGGAGGCAGCGGATCAGTGATTCTCTCTCCTCATTGATGTTTCTCTCCCTCTCCGTCTCCCTCCCTCTCTGGAATCAATAAAAATATATTTTAAAACAATGAAAGCTTTGCTAGCCTCAGAGAATGGTTGGGGCGGCGCCCTCTCCATTCTGCTCACGGTGCACGCGGGCTTGGTGGGGTGACCTGTTCCCTGAATGTGGGTGGAACTCCCAGCGGAGCCACCTGACCTTGAGGCGACGGACGCCTTGGCCATGAAGATGGGCCTTGAGGCTCGGGGAGCCCGGGGCCGGGAGAGGCGCGTGGTGGCCAGTGGCACACGGAAGCGCAGGGGCGGTGGCGGAGGGACGCCGCTGTGGGGAGGGACGGGGTGGCGCTGGGTGGAGGCCCTCGCTTTGCGCTGCCCGGGCTGTGATCTCCCAGGTGGTGTCAGAGGCCGGGAGGCCTGGTGCGTTCTCTGTGGCGCCGTCAGAGGAGATGCATGGAGAGGCTCCGTCCGCCCCGGGGACTCCTGGGCACGGGGTGTCCGGGCAGGACTGCTGGGTCCCTGTGGTTGGCCGTGAAGGTCGGCGGGCAGAGCTGGGCAGGCCGGCTGTCCGCGCTTTCTGGGGACGGAGAGAAGCCTGAGCAGAGCTTGCTTCCTGATGGGCAGGGCTGGAAGCCTTAGGGCCCCCCCGCCCGGGCTCAGGCCCCAGCGTGATTCGTCTCCCCTTTGCCACATCCGGGAGCTGGGCCTCCTGCCGGCCACTCGCTATCCGTCCTTCGCATGTCTGCCCGGAGGACCGCAGGGTCAGGCAGGGGTCATGGTCATCCTGTCTGTACTTTGCTAGGCACTGTGTGCGAGCGTCAGGTAGTCGTGAGTTGAACTGCGGTGCCGCCAACGGCCCTGAGCTGCTGGCAGACGTGCCTGCGTGGCCCTGCTCCTCCTGCCCCCGCCGGTCGGTGCTTCCGAGGGGCGTGGCTCTCACGTGGCCGTGGTGCCCGGGGGCACTTGGCGGAGCAGCTCCTGTGAACTGGGGGTGCTGCTGTGAGGCCTGAGGACAGGCAGCACCCACGTCGGGCCCTCGGGTGCGGGTGGTGCCTGGGCCGCTGGTCAGGCTGACTCGGGGTCCTTGTCCCGGAGCCCGACGGAGAGGTCGCACCGGGATGGTGCCGGGCGCTCCTGCGGGGCCGGGGGGCCGGGGGCCTCACGTTCCTGATGAGCCGAGGCCGGAGGGTGTGGCGCCTGCGCCTCTTGTCCGCTCTTGTTGACATTTCGCTCGCGTCTGTCCTGTTGCAGGGAAATAGTGGAGCACATGGTCCAGCACTTTAAAACTCAGATCTTCGGGGATCGGAAGCCAGTGTTCGACGGGAGGAAGAACCTCTACACAGCGATGCCCCTTCCGATCGGGCGGGAGAAGGTGAGTCCCGGGCAGGGCCTGGGCCCCGCGTGTGGCCGGCTGTGCGGGAGCCGTCCCCCGGGGGAGCGCGCTGGCCCTCAGGACGCCGCCCGGGGCCCTGGGAGACAGGAGTTGAGGTCTTGAAACCACTGGGCTTTCCCGTGTGAGACAGACCCACGCTGCAGGTGCCACCGGGGGTGCGACAGGAGCCGGGGGCCCCAGGGGTGGTGACGCCTGAGGAGAGGTGCCCGCACGGCTGTCGGCGTGTGCGTGTGCGTGTGCGTGCGCGTGCTCGTGCGTGTGTGTGTCCGTGTCCGTGGCAGTAAAACAAGGCTGACTTTCGCCTGTAGCCAGTGGTTCACCTGGAGTGACAGACACGGGAGGCCTGCGTGCTCACAGCCGCCCTCTCTTCCTGTCTGTGTCCTGCTCCGGGGCCAGTGGCTGTTTAAAAAATGGTGAAGTCCCGCCTAGAAGGTGTCCCCGCGGGGGCGGCTCAGCGCGGAGGCCTCACCTGCTGCCCGCAGTCCGTGCGCCCGGCCGGCTCGCAGTGTTTGCTGTGCATTTAGTGGTCACCCTAAGGAGACAGCTCCTGCACCCGTGGGCGGCTCCGGCTCCGGCGGGGCTGTGCCCGATAAGAGGAGAGGCGTTGGGCCAGGGCGCCTCCTGATAAGGCTCCTTGCCGAAGGCTGGTGGCTCGGATAGCACGGGCACCCCTGGCACGGGGCGATGGCCCGGTGTCCCCACTTGGGTGCCAGGTCCCTGCCCGCCAGCGCGGGAGGCACCCCTGCAAACCAACAAGACTCATTGATGAGAGCTTCGAGTTTGACTGGACACTTGTTTTTGGTTAAAGTGTGAGAAGGAAAGCTGCACGGAGCCCTTCAGTCTCGTCTGCGTGTGCATCGCTGCGCCAGGGGCTCAGGAGCACTTTCCTTCGGGGGGGGAGTCCCCCCGCTGTTCGAATGTGAGACATGCCCCCATAGAAGTTGGCAGCACAGCTCGGGGTGAAATAGGTCGGGTTCCTCTCTTAAGAAATATATATATTTATATTGGTTTCAGGGAGAAGGGAGAGGGAGAGAGAAGCATCAGTGGTTCCTAGGTCGACGCTCAACCACTGAGCCGGGCGGGCAGGTCGGATTCCACGCCCACACGTCCGTCTGGGGAGGGTTTCTCCTCGTGACTCGGTCCCTGCAGAGCTCGCCGCCGCCGTTGTTTCCGTTGGGGACAGAACTCCCAGGGCCCCCGCAGGCCGCCCTGCCTCTTCCGGGGACGCACTCCCTGAGGAGCCGACCCGACCCCGGCCGAGCGTGACCCCCTCTGACGTGGGGCGGGGGCCGCGTGGATGACCTGCGCTCTGGGCCCCCAGGTGGAGCTGGAGGTCACGCTGCCGGGCGAAGGGAAGGACCGCATCTTCAAGGTGTCCATCAAGTGGGTGTCCTGCGTGAGCTTGCAGGCGTTACACGATGCACTTTCGGGGCGGCTGCCCAGCGTCCCCTTCGAGACGATCCAGGCCCTCGACGTGGTCATGAGGCACCTGCCGTCCATGAGGTGAGGCCCGCCGCGGTGGGCGCGGGGAGCTGGCCCCGGTCCCCTGGGACCGTCGTGTGCATTTGCATCGTAGCAAGCCCAGCAGTGCTAACGGGGGGACATTTTAATGTGAAAGAGATT